GGGCCACACCCCATTGTGCTCAAAGGCTGCTCCAGGCTTTGTGTGCCGGGGTCACTCCTGGTAGCCTTCAGGGGACCATATGTGATGTTGGTCATTGAATTGGTTTCAGACACTTGCATGGCAAGGGATTTATGTCCCCAAACTATCTTTCATGTTCCACTAAATCTGAAGCCAAATTCGTTTCTGTATAGCAGAGAAGAGTTACCCTTAAGCATTTTTGCCATTTGTGACAGACATCTAACCATGTGTTTACTCTCAGCCTTTCAGGCAATGATGATGATATTCTTGCTGTGGACATGACAGAATTCAAGCACACAGCTTCATGTCTTTGAAACCATATTTTCTTTTGCTCATCTGATGTGAGTTCCTACTCCTGAAGTACTATAGAATATTATCTTTAATGCAACACATGTGAAGTAGGATCTTCATGTTATTAAATGTTCAGGCAGCTAAACAAGGATCTCCTTAGCTTTAAAACTTTCATCTCAGAGTCTTACGTACTGTCAGGCTCAGTTTTTCTTGTTAAACTAAGTATTAAAAAGCTCCCTGTCATGAATCAACTTTATTTTTATTAAGTTGACTTTCATTTGACTAAGATGAACTTATATATATATATATGCATATATATATTTATATGTCTGAGCACTCTCTGGCCATATCTTTTTTGTTGCCAAAAAGCCGCTTCATGTTGGCTTTTTTGTTGTTGTTGTTTTTCTGTAGTTGAGGTACGAACTATATTCACACGGAGGCTGAGGAATTGGCTGCACTGTCTATAAAAGGTCCAAGTCTACTGCTTGGACTCTTTCTGCCATTGGTATCAGAGTCTCCAATCGCGGACTTCTACCTCAAGGCCAGCAAATGCTTATCTGAGGTAGATTGAATGGCAGTTTTTCTGACTGTATGTGTTTTTTCCTGCCTTGTGCCGTCATTGTCAGAGGTGGACGCCAAGTCCTGCAGTCCAGACTGGGGTGTGGCAGGAGTGGCTGAGCACATGCCTTCTATGTGTGAGGTCTGGTCTCCGACCCTCTGTACTTCCCACAGCACTGGGTGTGGCCCCACAGCAGTAGGGAGCACTGTGGCTGGCCAGTGGTTAGGATCTCCGCTGGGCCCCTCGAGTGGCCAGTAGCCCTCATGCTCTTCATCTTGCTGACAGACTCTTTGGGGTTACAAACACACAGTCACAGTGTATAGCATGTCTTAACTCTTTTTATATCACCGTCCTATGCATTTTCCTGTCCTAATGACAGGCTGTCCAAACTGTGGGCATGGGTAAAAAATGGTGATTGACAAATGTGGAAATCCTGCTCCAGGCCTCCCTGAGGACAGCCCTGAAATGACAGTGTATCTGTCAAGCCATCATGTGAGTGGCTAGTTCTACTTCTGTTTCTCGTCTTAGTAACTGAGGGTTGTAGTTTGGGTACCACCAGTGTATTTTGGGATCAGTCAGAAACTGAGGAAGAATTGCAATCTTTTCAGTTGGAGAAGTATTTTTTTTCTCCTTATTGGTCATGTGGCCTTTCCCCTCCTTTTTTTCTGGACTGCTTATTCTGTGTGTGTGTGTGCTTATTCTGTGTGTGTGTGTGTATGTGTGTGTGTGTATGTGTGTGTAGTTACATTCTGCTTCATTCACTGCCCCCCCAGGAGCCTAGAATTCTCTACCTTCTGTTTCCTTAAATTTACTTTTAAATTAATTTGTAGTTATTGCTCATCTTTTTCTTAATTCCATTGTCTTATGGGTCCTTATTAGTATAATAGGAAGTTTAGTGAAAAACTTACAAAGAACCCTGGAAAGACAGTGCAGGGGTAAAGGCTCTTGCCTTGCATAGGAACAACCCTGGTTTGTTCCTGGCAACACATAGAGTTCCTGGAGCACTCAGGGACGATTCCTAAGCACTGCTGGGTGTGGCTACAAAAGAAACAAGATTTACAAAGCAGAGGCAGGAGAGACAGTACAGGAGGTCAGGTGTCTTGCGTGTGGGGGTCAGGGAGCGTTGCCCTCCTTCAAACTCCAGGCACTCCAGGCACCACATCTGGTTCCCTGAGCACTGCCAGAGGTTACTTCTGAGCACAGAGCCAGGAATAGCTCCTGAGCACCACCAGGGGTCACTCCTGAGCACAGATTCAGGACTAGTCCTTGAGCACAACTGGGTGTGGCCCCTAAAACAAAAAATATATGCAGACTGAGTGCCTGGTTTGTATTCATGGGACCCTTAAGCCTCCTGATCTCCCTGAGCACCGCCAGGAACAGCTCCAGAGCACTGGGCTTGGAGTAGCCCCTCAGCACTGCCAGGTATAGCCTAAGACAACGTTACTTTTATTCTTAAGCCACATCCGGCAGTGCTCAGGTCTTACTTTTGGCTCTGTGCTCAGGGATCACCCTAGTAAAGCTTGGGGGTACCATATGGGGTGCCAGGGATCAAACCCTGGTCGGCTGTGTTTAAGTTCAGTGCCCTACCTACTGTTCTTTCTGTCTAGTCCCAGCACGTGCCCATTTTTCTCCTTGAGTGGTATGTGTGTGAAATTACCATGAACCCATGCTAAGTAGTTTCTAAGGTCCAGTGAACGCACTTTACCAAATTTACTCTGTTGCCCTCTCAGCCATTTCAAAGCTGAGTAGATTGACTGAATATCATTAATAAATCATAAGATGGCAGAATCAGAATTATATGTGTGAATTAGCTGCTGGGGTTGCCTGGAAAATCTAAAGATGATCACTTTCCTTCTGGGTTTGTTTTTGCAAAGGCCACAGAGAAACACCGCATGAAAGCAAGCTCACATTGCTCTGTCCCTTTCTATCTTCTCACACCTCCTCCCGGTGACAACCCATAGATGGGAACTGTAGAAAATAGGGAAAAATAAATTTGTGCAAGTTAATCAGTAGAGAATGGTTGCAGTTTCCACTAATTGCTGGCTGTCAGATTTTGTGGATTGGCTTGCTGCACTTTTCTTTTCAAGAAATTTTAATATCGCCCTCATATTATACTCAATGGTAAGATTTTTGCAAGTACATTTCTGTAGGCTTTTTAAATTCAAACCTTGAGGGCCTGATGAAGAGAAAGTACAAAGGTTATGGGTATGGTACAAAGGTTATGGTATAAAGAGAAAGTACAAAGGTTACCTAGCCTGGGGCTGTAGCTGCCACTGCCCTGGTTTGAATCCCAGCATTGCATATGGTCCCCAGAGCACTGCCATGGGTGATCTGTGAATACTGAGCCACCCATGGCCCCTGAGCTTCACTGGGGGGTGGCCAAAAAACAAAAAAACAAAACAAAAACAAACCAAAAAAAATCAGAACTTGAAATGTACTTTGTCGAGTGTACTATTTCAATTATAGCACATCTAATACTTTCTTTAAAATTGCTCTATGCAAAGAAAACATGACTGGAAATTTTTATTTCATGATTTTAAAAATTATTGTACAGTAGCATGGCCTCATGTGAGGACTGTTTCATATGTTGCTATTCATATTATTTATGCACATATTTTTTTCTTTCTTGTTCGTGGGGACATACTTGGCAGTGGTGGTAGTCAGCAGACCTACACCAGGCAGGGGAGGGGGTGCTGGGGGGCAGATTCGTGGTGTCATATGGACGTGGAACTTCACACGTACTGGACATGGCAGTCCTCTGTCACTGGGGCAGTGCCCCTGGCCTGCACATAGACATTTTACATAGTCACAGTGTATTTTGTATTTTGCTACTTTTAGTAGCTAGTGTGTTTTCTAAATTTATGTTGAATCTTTCTGATAATCAGGATCATCTTCAGTAGCTTTAAAATATTCCTTGTCTTTTATGGTAAAAAAGACACAAAGTCTCCAGTGCTAGAGACCCTGGGCGTGCTCTTTTCAAGGGGTGTATCTCTAGTATTCTTTTGTGTAAATAAGAGCTTTTTTTTTTTTTCACTTTTTGGGTCACACCCAGCGATGCGCAGGGGTTTCTCCTGTCTCTGCACTCAGGAATTAACCCTGGCGGTGCCCAGGGGACCACATGGGATGCTGGGAATTGAACCCGGGTCGGCCACATGCAAGGCAAACGCCTTACCCACTATGCTATCACTCAAGCCCCTAAATAAGAGCTTTTTATCTTCAGGTCATGTTGGAGACTTCCAAGTGAGTATCTGCATTCCTGTCACTTGGGGATTTCCTGAATATGACCTATTTAAAAAACATTTCAGGGGCTAAAAGACAGTTCAGAGCACTGAGTTTAAGTTTATATGTGGGAGGCCTGGCATTGATCCCTGGCACTGCATTGTTCCCAGAAACTACCCCTTTCTCCACTTCCAACTACATTGACCCCCCCAAATTTCATAATGTGTAATTTTGAAAAACTTGCCTGTGTAAGAGAGGTGCTAACAGTCATTTGGTGACTCTTAACCTGCTTGTCTAGAATTTGAAGCACTGTTTAATTTGACAGAAGTGGGTAAGGGGAACATAAGGTCAACAATTCTCCTATCCAAGACTGGAGAGCCTTTTCGTGGAAACAGCGCAGTTACACTTTCTTGTTCTAGAGTAGTGATACTGAAAGGGGGTGAGAGGGGTGCTGGAAAGATTCAGAGAGGTGCTATTGGGAGATGCTTTCTGTTATTTAAAGAAGGCAGATTTCTAGAGGAACACTGTTGAAACATTGCACAAGGGCCAGACAGATAGCCCAGTAGACTGATGCGTGCTTTCCTGTGGGAAGCTGGGTTTCATCCCCAGTTCATAGGGTGCCCTGTGAACCACCAGGAGCAGTCCCAAGCACAGAGATGGGAGTAGTTCCTAGTCACACCCTGGGTGTGATCCCCAAACCAAAAATGAATGAGCAAAAAAGCATTTAAAAAATGAAAATTATTGCTGTGGCCAGAGAAAGTATGGAAGGTAAGGCACTAGCTTTGCATGTGGCTGTATTGGATATGGCCCGGGTTCAAATCCTTGGCATCCACTACAATATGGTTTTCTGAGCAGTACCAGGTCGGACTCCTCTCAGCCTGCTCCCTGCTCCCCTCGCCCCCCAATTCTGCTTTGGGTTTGTTCTGAGCAAAGTAAAGAAATGGCTGTTCTATTTATACCATACCCAACAGAAGTCTGGGTTCACTGGTAAGGGGTACCTGTGCTACCTTCCAAAGAAGTACCCCACATGTCTAAAAATTGTTAAATAAAAGAACCAGCCAGTGAAATTTTCAGTCTTCAATTTAAAAAGATCACTTGTTAGTAAGTTGAGGTTTTCTGCCTCTGACCCCAAATGCCCCCTACTAGGATTTGGAAGTAGCGAGAATAATTATCAAATGTGACATTCACTGTAGCATATTTTACAAAGCTCATACAGTTTAGGTTTTGAATATTGTTCTTACTCATTGTTGTACATTTGAAGTTTAATGTGGCAGTTGGCTAGTGGCCAAGAAAGAGAAAAGAAAATAGGATAAAGTGTCCTAGCTCCTTGTTGTTGCAGACTGCATCTGTAGATCTAAAAAGTGAAAGTGGGTTAGAGCAGATTGGATTTTTGCTGGCCAGATGTAACATTGTATTCTGCCTTAAATGCCAAGCTGTGACAGTAGTAGGAAGCAGAGTTCTTCTTTATCACCTAAGTATTTATTGGAGGATATCCTAAATATTTATTGGATGATGGTTATGTATAAGATGTGCATAACTGGTTTGTGCAAGTGTTTACTATGTATGTGAAGATTTTAGAGTTACCAACTTTCATTAGCGGTCTTTCAAGTCAGGATGATATTGGTCATTAGTAGCAGTTGTTTGATTGTTTTGTTTCTTGGCCACACATGGCTGTGCTCAGGATTTACTCCTATTTTTGCACTTAGGGATCACTCCTGGTGGGCTCAGGGGACCATATGGGGTTCTGGGGATAGAACCTGGGTCAGTCATGTTCTACTAGTTGTACTATCTCTCTTTGGCCTAGTTTTTCATTTTTGATTAAGAAGAACTATTCTGTTTGCAGCATTTTTGTTGATTTCTAATCTCATACTTTGATTTGCACATACTCCATCTGTTTGTTTTAACCTGATTCATTAGCAGGAACTTAAAATTATCCATCTATCCCCCGGCTGCAGTGAACAATGCTTACTTTAAACTAAATTAATTATAATTTTATTTTAAAATTAAAGTTAAGCTTAATTTAAAATTTTAAATTAATTTTAACAATGCTGCTGCTTAATTTTACTGTACTTTTGTGGTATTCATGTTGGTTTTGATGAATACATTTATGCTGATGAAATTATGAGGACTGTGAATTTGAAAATTTGAAGTTAGAGCTCTTGTAACTCCCCTCCCCTCCCCTCCCCTCCCCTCCCCTCCCCTCCCCTCCCCTCCCAGTAGTGTGTGGGACCGAGGTTACCCAGTGCCATGCATGGCAGTGCTCTAGGGATGCAGAGCATTCTCGGACAGGCTCCAACCCAGGGCCTCACACACCAAAGGCATGTGCTCTACCACATAAGCTGTCTCCCTGACCCAACATTTGTTTATTTGAGAATCTCTGAGTGATCACTGTCCTTTTATCTGGAACTGTATTTCTCCAAGTGGGTGAGGCCGCCCCCTGGGGACACTGAAAGAATTTAGGAGGGTATGAGCAAGCAGCCTTGGCTGCAATTGAAAGGTGCTTTTTGGGTATTTTCACGAAGGAGGGAGATTTCTAGATGGGCACGGAATTATTTCTTTCTGAAAAGGAGGTGGTAGACCAAACAAGTTTGGGAGCCTCCATCCTAGAGAAAGATAAGTTGGAGATGAGGAAGAGGTAAGATGGAAATTGGAGCAAAGAAGAGAGTATTACTTCAGTAAATTGGTATATAGAACTCAATAAAATTTTGTTTTGGGGTCACACCTCTCAGTGTACAGGACTTACAACTGATGCTGCACTCAGGGTTCTCTCCTACAGGGTTTCAGGGGACCGTGTCTGGTGCCAGGGATCAAAGCTGAATCAGCTGCATACAACCCTACTTTCTGTACTATCACTCCAGCTTCCATAAAAAAATTTTATTTATATTAACTGGGTGAACTAAATTGCTAAATTTTATACTGTACTGTAATATAAACTGACATCCTTCTTAAACAAGTGACTTCAAATTTTTCTTAGAAAAATCATAAAATGATAGAAAATTTTATTTTTGCACTAATTGCTAATAGCTAACACTGATAGCTAACACTGATAATGATGATGATAGTGATTATTATTTTTTTTTGATTAACATTACATCCTTTACAGTTTAGAATGGGTGAGCATAATTGAAAGCTGCATTAGCAAAAGAACATGAACTTTATACGAGCTTTACCCCGAGCCTGTGAATCTCGGCAGTTTTATTGAATCTTTAGTGCCAACGACCCAGAGTATTTATACATCATGTTTTGTGAAATAAGGTGATTATTATTTTTATCTTTTAAGAACTCCTTCTCCAAAAGAAAATATACTTAATTTGTTTTTAGTTAGTTGTGCCATGTAGTATTTGTTGCTTAATACTTCTTTATGATTATTTTCTTTGAGCTTTCACTTACCTCCAGATGTATGGAAAATATGATATGTGGTCAGTACTTGGAAAGAACTAAAGGATTGGTTTCACTACATTTTTGATGCAATAACATTGGAATGTAGTTGTAATTTTTTCCACTAATAATTCCAGTAATCGGGCTGTATATTTTCCCATAACAATTATGTATAAAATCAGGGATCTGCAGTACCCCCATCTTTGAACAATCTCAAAATCTCAACCCCCCTCCTCCCTCACTTTAAAGAGAGACCCAACACTACACTGTTGTCGCAGTGTAGACAAAGAAAGTCCAGCTTTGGGAAGGTGATAATAACTTATGTAGGAGGGGGTGCATGTTTTGTCTGAAACAGTAGATGCAGTTGATTTCCTTATGGAGCAGTTTTGTTCTTGAGATTATTATGAATTAGTAGTGAGAAAAGGAATGGAAATCACAGAACATTCGGAACTTTATTTAAGAAGGTTGAACCGTAAATTAAGCTCTTGGTGCAGAGAAGGTACAGCTTCAGTTCATTGAAATCCTCTATACTCCACAATTTGCCAACTCAGGCACTTGCAACTTCCAGATTGAGTAACACTTCAAACACATTTTCTTTTGAAAGTGCAAGATTTGCAGAGAGACTTGTCATGCATTTATTTGGCTATTCTCAAATGGGAAACTGAATTCTGGGTAGTCTCTCTGGCTCCTTAAGCAGATTTGATGTTCTCATTTCTTGCTGGGTGTTTCTGCATACTTGACTTGAGTTGTTATGGTGGTGTTTTTACACTTCATGTACCAGTTCTGTTTTTCCTCTTGGCATTATGGTAGTTCCAGTATTTAGAAACCTTTTACTTGTGATTCAACACATGGTCATATTTTAGTAGTTATATTTGCTGTATAATGATTTGTTATTTTACCCTTTAAGTTCTCTATGATATTTTAAAGGTTAACTAGATCTGAATATTTTAATCTTCAGAGTCTTTTGAGACTCAAATAGGGTCATTATTTAAAAACTCCTCTTAACTGCATTATTTTTGTATCTGTCACATATGTTGCATGGTTCAAAATTTAGTAAATCCTGATTTCTAAAATTAGCATACAGATTTGTTATATTTTGTTGGTTATGATTAGATTTTATGGGGACAGCTGCATTATAAAGAATGCCAAAACTTGAATTCAATTCTGTAACACACTCTTAAATAGTGTAAAGATGTACAGCCTTCAGCAGGAAGTGGTAATATGTACTACCGTTCACTTACACCATAAATGAGGTTTAATTTACCTCTTCGTATTCTAGGAAAACAAAGGAAATTTGAAAGCTTTTTAGTATAACAGTTTTCCTTTTTAAAGTCAAGTTTTATTTAAAGAATGCTTGATAATCTGCCTTTTTAAAAAATAAAACAAGATTCCTCTGTTGGATTGAGCAACACTGACATATTTGACTAAAATGTTTCTGTGCTCCTTTTACTGTGATTTTCATCCTAAACTTTAGGCTTTCTAATTTGCAAACAAAACAAATTTTAAGCTTAAATATAGTAAACAAGAACTAAAATTGAAGAGTTCCAAATATAAGCAGCAAAAAAAAAATTTTTTTTGAAGGGGCCACACCCATCTGTGTTCAGGGCTTATTCCTGACTGAGCCTGGTGGTGACTGCTGGAGGTGCTTGGGGGATAATATGAAGTGCCCTGAATCAAATCCAGGTTGATTATGTGCAAGGCAAATAACCTACCCTCTACTATCACTCTGACCCCTGTGCAGCAAAATTGATGAAAATATGCTTTTATGAATTTAAAGAATGTATGTATGTAAGAACAACACCTTGAACTCCTCTTTTGATCTAAGTAATTAATGTTCTTCCTCTCCCCATTTTGGGGAGCCAACCTATGATGGCCTCAGACATGCTAGGCAAGTACTCTAGTTTGGACTCACTTTTCTAAAGTACTTTTGCAATGTTTTTCTTTTTAATTAGACATTTCACTTATTTCTGAAGTCAGCTATTCTAAACTTTGATTAACAATTTTAAAATTACACACAAAGGTACCCACAGAGATAGTACATTGAGTAGGACGCTTGCCTCACGTGCAGCACACCTGGGTTGGATCCCTGGCACTCCTAGGGACCCTCGAGCACCACCAAGAGTGATCCTGAGCAGAGCCAGAAGTAAGCCCTGAGCACCATTAGGTCAGGCAGACAAACATAAGTAAAACAAGCAAACAAAAATAAATGAAAATAAAGCACACTTAAAAAGGTTGTAGAGTGATCCCAGGGGTTACGGCACTTGCCTTGCACAGTCCAACCCAGGTTTGAACTTTTGACACTGGATATGGTTCCCCAGCAGAAAGCCAGAAGTTAGCTCTGAGCACAGTTGGGTGTGGCTCAAGAACTAACTAAATTAATAAATTAATCACAGGCACACAAAAAGCCTAAGCAAAAAGATGTGACTATTGAAAGTTTCAAAATTCTTAGTATCCCTGTCTGTCTTCATCATTAATAATAAAAATCTTGAGCATTTCTTTGAAGTGGATTTCACTATTTGGGAAACTTTTTGTTTTCTATTTGTGGACTGTCTCTGAGATGTAAATAGATCATCCACATAACCCATATTCAGATAGCCTGGGATCACAGATGTGGCTTCCAACTGTACTTTGAAAATAGTCCCCCTTTTCCCCC